TAACATTGTATCGCGAATTTTAAACATATGCTGCTTTAAAGTGCTTTTGAATTTAATTTTCAGTTTTATATGGCGTAAGTGCAAAGAAAGTGACGTCAAATAATAAAGGACAAAAAAAGTTGTGTAAGTTACCTTTTTACGAAAACTGAGCATTGATGTAATAAAGCGAGAAAAGTCTAAAAAAATCTAAAAGGGTTCAGATTTTAATCGTCATCGAACCGCTATTTTAAAGGTAATATCGTTTATCAGTGCAGATTATCAACAGGGATGACTTAGGTTCAATACAAAATATTTTATAGGATACTAGATCAATATACGTTTAGACTAAACTAGGAACGTTATACATCTTCTGTATCTTTGAAAAGTAAAAAAGTATATAACGTAATTCTGTAAAAATATTTAATGATTTTAATCAGATGTATCATAAATTAAAGGTATTATTATTTACCTTAATCAAATTAAAAATCTATTCTTAAGAATTGTATCTGTTGCTTTTAAATAGTTTGTTCACCATTAGCAGCCTGATTAAATCTGAAAGGCAAGATATCTTACATTTTGCTAAATGGCAACAGCTTCGAATGAAAAGAGAAACAGCGCGGAATCGTGTTTCGAAACTAGTAGCCCTTTCAAGCTAAGAAATATATGGCAACACTTAACACATTGAACGGAATTCTAAAAACATGCTGCTTTTAAAAATTTTGTGATTATTAATGCATTGTTTATGAATTCGAAACACTGTATGACCATAGGGTATATTATGATCGATGCGATAACATTTTGTGATTTTACTGTTTAATTTTACGGCACGTAAATGCGAGAAAAGTTGCGTCTAAAAATAACATTTAAGAGGTAAAAAAAAAATGTGTTAGTAGGAGGTAGTCCAAGAGTATATTGGTAATCTACGAGCTCAGCGAAACATAAAAAACCCTTCACAAACTCTCTAATCCGAAATTAAAATCTTATTCCGTTCAAATCTTCTTCTTTTCTTTTAGCCCGAAAGGGAAGTTAGATCTGAATGGTATGTTAGTATCGAAACGGCATTTTCGTCGAAACACTTAAATGTTTCACTTTTCAAATTGTTGCCACACAATGTTGTCGTGCAGTGTTATATTTAAAGAAAATAAATAATGAATAATCTGCGTAAATATATAAATATGTCTCTTGCATTGTGAAATAACAACGGTAACTAGAGCGACCACATTTTGAATAACGTAGTCCTCCACCCGAACATGGGCACCTGAAGCCCGAATTTCGACATATTTGGTAACACCTTGAACGAACTTAGCAATTTTTCACTAACAAACACAACGATTTCAAAGTGAGCAGTGGCAATACTATAAGGAATAAAACAATTTTAACTCCAGAGCGCGAGACGGTCTATAGAAAATTCTTAAGATATACTGTTTTTAAATATTTTGTGATTTTCCTGTTGAATCAAATTTTTTGTGGCGAGAACGTAAGCGCTGAGAATGTGATATTTAATAAACTAAGTATACGCACAAAACGTTAATAATAAACAGGCAAACAAACGTTTTTTAAAGCTATCTTAGTAAGAAAACTGAATACTGATATGATGAACTGAGAAAAGGCTGGGGGGGGGACACCAGAAAACTGTATGCCAACGCTTAACGTTGTATCAGGAATTTTAAACATATACTGCTATTGCTGCTGTTAAAATTCTTATAATTTTGCTGCTAAATTTTATACGACTTAAATACGAAGAAAACGATGCTTAATAATAAAGCTAAAGATATTAAAAAAGTGGGTTAGTAAGAGGAGTGTAACAGCCAACTGGTAAATTGCGAACTCAGCGAGAGCGTAAAAACCTTGACAAACTCTTTTGGGCGACCTTTAAAATCTGAAACCTTTCAGATCTTTTTTCTTTCTACCTTTCTTTCTATCTTTCTTTTTTTCTTTTTTTAACTCTTCTTCCTTATTTTTTAATTAAAAATATTTCTTTTAAATACATAACAGGAAAATCAAGGCATAGATTTGCAGTGCAGAAGCGGATCTCTTATTAGCAATTTCATTACATCGTTTGAAATGTATGAAAATTCTTATAAAAGAGTCTTGTTTTTAAATTATTAACTTTGATAAGCAAGACGCTGATACAGTGCGAGAAATAATTTAATAATCTTACGTTGTATAAAGTGGCAACTACTCTGCCAAAAAAATGTAACGTGTTGAATTTGGAGGGAAAAGAAACTTTTTCTCTTAAGGTATTGATGTTAAAAATATGTTTAACATCAGTACCTTAAGTGAATCAATGCAGAGTATGTTTTTGGCGATTTGCGGAGGATTTAGAACTTATCAAGACAATTTTTCAAAACCTGAAGTGTTTAGACTTATAAAATTTCGTAAGAAAGAATTGTAAGATCCATCACAGACACTAATAACTATATTAACAGAAAAGTCTAGTTTTCTAGCCAAGCTTAGATTACTTTTCCTGAGTGCATTACTTTTTTCTCTTGGGAACATATACACAACTGCAGGTATAAATATTAAGATTATAAGGTATTTCTCCCACCTTCTTAGACGGCCTTCACAGTGTAGTGGACGCGTATTCCAGAGGTCCGAGGTTCGATTCCAGGCGAAGGCGTTTCTAATTTTTCCTCTTTCCTGCCTCAAAAATACTTAATGTCTCTACAGTGGCGCCTGAACTTAAAAGGGTAGTGGATGATGATTCTCCACACCCAGGATTTGGTGACTGGGTCCCCTAAACCCCAGTCCCCCTTTAAAAGGGGGAGTATATAAGGTATTTCTCTCGACGTTTTAGCAGGCCTTCGTAGTGTAGTGGTCAGCACGCTGGAAGCGTATTCCAGAGGTCCGTGATTCGATTCCTGGGGAAGGTGTTGCTCATTTTTCATCCCTCTTGCTTCTAACTAACCTAATGTCTCTACAAGATGATGATAAATTTTATTGACTTATATTATTATTTTGTTTTCTTTATCTAAATTCATCGCTTTCTATTCATTATTAGTTGTTTAAAAAACAGGCAATTTATACGACTTTTTCAAGCAAGATTTTATTTACTTTAAAATAAGATAATTTGCTTTGCTTTTTGAAACAAGTTTTGCTTGTCAAAAATTTTACTTAGATGTGTAAGACTATGAAAATGATTTAACCCTGAGTCATATTGTCAGAGAGAGCTTAAGTTTTTTCCTCCTTTTTTTTCTTTCGTTTTTCATACGTTAACCATGTATTTAACTATTGAGTTATTACTAGTTTCACCTTAGATAAATAACGTACTAGTTTCTCTTCAGTTTTGTCCTCAGGCAATGAGATTTATGTAACATACCATGTTTCATATTTTAAAATGGAATGTACGTACATGTAGTTAGTTAAATATAACATTTAATTTTGTTGTGTTTTGCATTTCTCTGGAGTTTTATCTTAAAGCAATATCATTTCATTTTTGCGTTGCGTAACTTTCATAAATTTTCCCAAGGAATTTGTTGATAAATTATAAAGAAAGGAGAGTTTCATTTATACAGATTTGTAAAGGCATTAAAAGGAGTCGTTATTTGATTATAATCATTATGTAGTAATACTCTGATGTAGCTCTCTGTTTCCATAATTCCTTATCTGTAATTCTAAGCCAATAATTTTAAGCCTTAGTAATCATTTATATAGTATTAATATCTATAACTTTTTCTCTGCATTCAAAACATTTCATTTCAGGTCATGATGTTTTTATTACGTAAAGTAAAGGAGGAAATTCAATTATGATAAAATTTAGAGATATAGCTTTCGTATTCTAAATTTTACAATGCATATTTTATAAGGTGTTTAATATTTGCTAAAAGCTTTGAAAAAACGCAAAGAATGTATGTAAAGGAAATATTTCTCAAAAATGAAGTTTATGATTTCGTTAGTTGCAAGATTCCACTGACAGTTTTAGAGGAATCCGTAAATATAAGCCCCCGGATCACCTAATAAAAATTTTCATTTCATGCTCATTTATGCATAGTTCTGAATATAAGCTTAATATGGATTTTTCACTCATTTCATGTTAAATTTATATTCTAAATACTTTTTCTGAACTCGTCTCTTCTTAGTGCTTCTTCATTTCATCGAACGTTCGAACATGAAATTGATTATTTTTTGTTAGACAGTATTTTGTAATAAGATATAACTATATTCTTCCAAACATTATAAATAATACATTATCACTAACAGTTCAATCAGAGAAAATTTTGGAATTTCGTTTCTTGCTTAACCGTTTATTTACCAAATGCTGTTATAGTTACGATTATGTTCAGGTTTTTGTATTTTATATTCCATTGATGTGAAAATGGAATGTAAAATACAAAAACTTGAACATAATCTTGACTAATTAATTAATTAATTAATTGCATAATCTTAACTAGTTAATTAGTGTATAACTATTATGTTGGAAAAAATTCTTTCGGCATATTCCTTTTCTGAAACAATTACATATGGCCATGCAGATTTTTTAGCTTATAAACTTTAGAAAGCAATTGAGTTATAGACAACTGATCAATATTAATTTCTAGTATTTTACATAGTTTTTCCCCCCCTTCAAAAAATTTAAAGATATCAACAATGCTCAAAATAATAGGTAAGAAGTAAAAGAAAAGTTTATTTTATTAGGTAATATATTATTTTTGTTTGAAGAAATTATTTTTGAAGTCAAATACTCTCAAGCAGTTGAAATTGAATGAAATATTATGCAAAATCTGAAAAAAAGAAATTTAAACAGTTCTTTTAATAAATGCTTTAAATTTGGTATGTTAAAAAGATTTTCAAAAAGTAATCTTTAGGCCAGATTTTCTGTACTGACAATTTTTAACGAATTATTAAGTTGGCATGTGATAATTTGTATGATTCTATGATTTGTAAATCCTTCTTGAGCGTTCAGCATTTTCTGAGCTCAACTTGAGTTCAAATGACTTACTTCAACTTGAAAAATAGCATTAGCTTATTAGGGGTCCATTTTATTCAGTAAAAACACTGAAACATAAAAATTCAGTACTTACTGAAGAAAGATGAGTCCTCTTCTGAACAGAAACCACCTTCAAGTAATAAAGGATCATCGAACAGGTTTTCTAGTTCTGGTGTATGGCTGGGTTCCGAACTTAAAGACTCTTCGCAGGCAATAATTCCAGATGATATTTCTTCGCCCATGTCTTTTAGCTCTCTCAATACGTGTTTAGGAAAGACGAAGATACCGTGGAAGCCCCAGTTTGCAAGGCATACACGAACCTCTACACTGAAAGCGCACCTCTCGCTCCCACTTGCAGGGCTTCCGAGAAAGAGAGTTAATGGCAGTCGATTTCTGTTCCGGAATGTTTTTTTTTTTTTTTATTTGCAGTATTCATTCTTCCCCAATTTCTTTTTGTGAATATTCATAAATAAGACACAGTAACCTGCAGCCCAAATATCACTTCCAAAACCAGGTACGTATCTTTAGAAAATTTATCTTTGTTCACAACAAAATTTCCGACGCAATTAACCCTTTTGATAAAAGTTTACAATTGGGTGCCTCTTGTTTATTTGGCGATTCTTTTTTTGACGCAAATATCGGCGCCAGGAAGGCACAATTTCAAGATGGCCTACACAAAACCAAAATAAGAAGTCAAATAATTGCACAAACTCAGTGTCCATGTAAACATCGATCTATTTTCACTTAAAAAACATCAGAGAATTGCACAAACTAGGCATTGCACACTGCCTTGACTGTCCATTTACACATAGATATATTTTCACTTAAAAAAATCAGGAAGACGAAAACAAGTTAAAACTATCGTGGTAACTAGAAACGGGGTTTCATCGCCAAAATTGAACAAAATTTGTCGCCAACTGAAGGGGCACCAATTCTATACTAAAGTCATGGCCCGGAATTAAAACAATTATTTCAGAGTGAAAATTCGTAATAATCGTAATGTAAAAATCTCCTAAAACTTTGTTAGCAGATTCTTACGGTAGACTTAAAGATTCCGCACCTTGAAGGTATTTATTTTATTATGTCAAAGAAGGAAAGTAATTAAAGTATTAATGTGTTTAAAATTTGCAAAAAGGGGTAATCTTCCATAAGTGGGGTAAGTTGGCTCCAAACTATTTTGGCCTTCAAAATTTGGCGAATTTTTTTGGCGGCAATGAGAGCACTAGAACACTAATAAGATGTGATATTTAAACTTAAACAGAATAGTAACTTTTAAGTTTTGTAGTAGTGAAACACCGTTATTTTATATAAATAGAATAGTAAAATGAGAAGACTAAATTCTAAATGAGTCTATCAGCTTTACAAGTAAAAACATAGTCCTATCTATGTAATTCATGATAAAATAGTATGATGAATAATAAAATAATAAATTGCATAACACTTTCCTCGGACTCCAAAATTGTTCACCAAGTAAATATATTATTCAAATTCACTAACAACGGATTCTTAGACCCATAGCACAGATTTTCCTGTAAAAGTGGAAAAATAACGAATATTATGATATGATTTCAGGACAAGAAAAATCTAAATAAGATGAAAAATATATATTATCATAAAATGAATGAATTCAGTTTGCTAATATGGATATGAATGTAGGGATGATTTGAGCTCCCTGGAAATTTCGGGTATTTCCTACCTTTCCTAGGAAAGCAGACGAGACAGTATTTTTTATTTTTTATTTTGAAAAAGAAGACTACATTGCTATTCCGCCAAGTGTGTGATTAATAATAACCATCACCTTATCTGACTGTTGCAGTCATTATCGATCTATCTCCTGTGAGTCGGGCCTGAGATATATTTAATTCACGATGTCACAGACGAAAGAAATAAAAAATTGGAGGTTCCACCGAGATTTGTGTGACAAGAGACCAGGTATGTGTTCTCCATATTCATTTCCAGGCCTGAAGTGTATAATGTAGTTATTTATTACTTATGCGGGAAATCAATTCTTAAAACAGAAATAGCACGTCAGTGCATACGAGTGTAAACACTCAATGTGTTTGGTTTATAGTATATCTAACAAAATATTTTTCTTTTGTGGTATATTCGGGAAAACATTTTCCCATTAACACGTAGTGCATAATATTTTGTAGCACTTCAGTGCATAAGAGTTTTGTAAACCAATCAAAGTGTTGCATTTATATATCTAACGAGATATTTTTCTTTTGTATGATAATGGGAGAAAATCCATTCCCTTAAATAAACAGCACATCAGTGTATTTATGTTTAACGTTTCGTTATAAATTGGTGTGATAAAATCTGAACTGTTTATTTTGTGTAGAAGTGAAATTTCTAAGTCATTGGAAGAAAATTTATGTTAAATTCTTGTGAAAGAAATAAGTTGTTGAAGATATTAAACATTTGTTACTTTGGTTTTCTCATGAAAGCACACCAGTGCTGTATTTTAATATGATATGTTTTTTCTGATAAGTAGAATGTTAAATTTTATCATTTCATTGTATAAAAATTTAAGCTTTGAGCAGTAAAGAAATGTTCTAATAGTGTTCTGATTTAAACCTGCGCCTATCGAATTTACGTAGTAATTGCGTTGGCCATGTGGTTGCCAAAGGAAGTAGCTGTCATGAAAACGATAGTTAATTAAAGGTGTTTATATTTATTGGCGCCACTCTGGTTTTTTTTCTGTCTGGCTGTACTAAATGAAAAGAATTTGTTATTTTTTTTATACGAAGTATTCAGTAAGGTTGTTTATTTGTTTTATGTTTGAATGGAAATAAATCCACAGTGATTAATACTTTTATTTTTATTTGCCTAATTTTGTAAGAAAGAAGAAAGTGTTTTTTATATCTCTGATATATTTTTATGTGTATTATTTGTGAATAACTATTTGAGTTCTTATTTGTTTTGAACAAGTACTTTTGCGAAAATGGCATTTTTGGGGAAAGCTAAGAAAAGGGATCTATTCCTTGTCGCTTCAGAACTTGGGGAAATAGATTTAGAAGATATGAAAGTGATAGATTTAAAACAATTAATAACGAATAGTAAAAATTATGAGGAAGAATTTGTTAAAAATTTGTTAGAAAGTATTATGACTGATAGGATAGAAAAGGAAAACTTAGAGAAGCAAACAAGAGCGAAAGAATTACAGTTAGAACAGGAAGCTAGGGAGAGGGAATTTCAGATACTACAACAAAATAAAGAAATTGAAAAGCAACAGTTAGAACTAGAATGCCTTAAAGCAAAACAGAACACTGAATCTGCTAAACCTGGAGGTGAAACGGTATTTAATCAGAATTTTCAGAAACTTATGCCCAAGTTTAATTTAAAAACTGATGATATCAGTTTATTCTTAGAACTTTTTGAGAGGCAAGCTAAAGTTTTAAAATTGCCCACGGATCAATGGGTGTCATATCTCATTGGTGTCCTTCCGGTTGAGGTAAATAATATAATTGCTAGGGAACCTGAAGAACAGGCTAGAGATTACCAACATATTAAAGAATTACTACTTAAAAGATTTAAGTTAAGTGCGGAGAAGTTTCGGCAACTTCTTGTTAAGACTCAGAAAAATAAAAATCCGGATTCTACGTGGTACGATTTTTATCACGAAATTAAGACATTTTTAGATGGGTGGCTTAAGGGATTAAAAATCGAAACATTTGAGCAACTCAAGGATTTAATGTTGGTAGATCAGATTAAAAGGCGCACGCCTAATGAGTTTAAGGAACATTTTATAGATGAATGGGCCACGATCACTTCACCAAAACAGTTGGTGGGTAAAATAGAGGAATTTGAAGATGCGAAAAAGACGATGGTTGGGAAAACGAAATTGGGTGAACTGAAAACGAAAATATCAGGTAGACAAATGGGTGTTTTTCAGTCCACTGGTAACGTTTTCAAAAATAGAAAAAAACCCTCAAGGCACACAATTTAAAAAAGATGATGATGCACGCAATGTTGGGAAAAAGTCGGACTCGAATTTTGATAGGAGAAAAAGACTCCAGTGCTATGAATGTGGATCTTTTGACCATTTACGTCCTCAGTGCCCTAATTTAAAACTCAAAAGGCAGATTTGTATCGGATAAGCGGGAGATCAGAGAAGAATCTGTTAGATCCCTATACATTAAATGGAAGAGTAAATGGTTTTGAAGTACCTATTCTAAGAGATACAGGAGCAACGGTAGATATTATTTGTCAGAAATATGTAGACAGAGATAGAATGAAGGGGGAACATGTGTGGGTTCGACATTTGTTGGATGATCATATGACTTGTTTACCTGTTGCTGAAGTAGATATTGAATGCGATTTGGGTACAGTAACCACCAAAGCAGCTGTTATAGGAGACCACTTAGACCAAGGACGATATATATTAGGCAACCAGACAGCGGCTCTTCTCAGAGGAACTGAGAAAAATTATTCGTCGTATGTCGGTAATGTTAATGCGGTCGTTACTCGATCTCAAGCACGACAATTTAAAGGAAGCGGAAAATTTAAGTGAGACGAATCAAAATTCTGAGCAGAATGAGTTAGAATTGGAAGAGGAGGACGATGCTCATGAGAAGGTCTGAAAACAGAGAGATATTGCCTCCTGTCGACCTTTGTGTCCCCACAAGTCCTGCGATTCAAATAGACTCAAGTACTTTTATTGATGAACAACAAAAAAGTAAAGAACTTGCCCCTTTATTAGAACTAGTAAAAAGCGGAAGTAAACAAGTTATGGGATTAAAAATGGGGTTTTAGTAAAAAGAAGGTAAATAAGTTAGGAGGAGAAGAACATTTAATTGTTGTTCCAGAAAACCTCAGAGAGCAAATTAAAGCAATTTGTCATGAAGGAACTTCAGGTCACTTAGGAGTTCTGAAAACAAAAGACCGGTTACTAAGACATTTTTTCTGGCCAAATTGTTATAAAGACATTGAGGAATTCATTCGTTAAAACATGCGACTCCTGTCAACGTGTAGGAAAAGCAAGTGACAAAAAAAAAAGCACCGTTGGTAATAGTACCTGTGATATCTGAAGTCTTTAGTAAGGTTAATGTAGATGCTTGCGGGCCTATGCCTACATCTACTGAAGGTAATAAATATCTTATTACAGTTATGTGCTTAGCATCTAAATATCCTGACGCCGTCCCGGTACCGGATATAACGTCGAAATCTGTTGTAAGTGCACTCTTGCAGGTATTTAGTCGGATGGGCTTTCCAAGGGAGGTTCAAACTGATCAAGGGAAATCTTTTATGAGTCGCTTAACCGTTGAATTTTTGAAGAGGTTTGGTATATCCAGAAGTTCGGTTTACCACCCCCAGAGCAATCCTGTGGAACGGTTCCATAGGTCAATAAAAAGGGTCTTAAAGGTATTATGTATTGAAGCTGCCCCAAATTGGGAAGTACAATTACCTGCCGCTCTCTTTGCCCTGCGAACAGTAACGCATGATAGTACAGGATTTAGTCCAGCTGAATTAGTGTACGGGACCAACCTCAGAACACCTGTCGCATTATTGTATGAGAAATGGTTAGA